ATGAACATAATTGCAAAACACTTTCCACACAAATAAAGTCAGATCTAAATAATTGCAAAAACATCAGTTGTTCATAGGTAGACTGAGCTAATATAATAAAAATGACAATTCTACCTAAACTAATTTACTTATTCAGTGCCATACCAATCAAACTACCAAAAAATCATTTTGCAGAGCTAGAAAAAATAATAACAAGATTCATTTGGATTAACAAAAGATCCAGAATATCAAGGGAACTAATGAAAAGAAATGCAGGGGAAGGTGGCCTAGTTCTACCAGACGTTAAATTGTATTATAAAGCAGCAGTCATCAAAACTACTTGCTACTGGCTAAGTAATAGACTGGTGGATCAGTGGAATAGGTTAGTTATGCAAAAAACAGTAGTCAATGTCTATAGTACATTATAGTAGATTTAATGACCCCAAAGACCCCAGCTTCTGGGATAAGAACCCACTCTTTGACAAAAACTGCTGGGAAAACTGGAAAACAGCATGGTAGAAACTAGGCATAGATCAAAATCTCACACCATATACCAAAATAAAGTCAAAATGGGTCCATGATTTAGATATAAAGGCTGATACTATAAGCAAACTGGGAGAGTAAGGAATAGCTCACCTATCAGATTTGTGGAGAACAGAAGAATTCATGACCAAGTCAAATTATTAAGAATACAAGTCATTCCAATTGATAAATAGTCAAAGGACATGAACAGGCAGTTTTCAGGAAAAGAAATTGAAACCATCCATAGTCATATAAAAATTATCTAAATCACTATTTTTTTCCACTTAAGTAACAAAAATTTATTGAGAATTCCTAGGATAACTGCTATCTCCTCCCAGCCTTGGAGGGAAACCAGCTAGAGAGGAAATCACTGAGAAATCATACAGTCCTTATACCCCAGACCCCCAGCAAAATATGGGAAGGGGGATTAGGGAAAAGAACATCTGTCAGTCTTCATTTATCCAACGAGTTGGGGAAGAGGTGGTGGAGGAAAGTCACGTGATGATGGGGTGAGGGAGGTGGACCCATCTGCCGGCTCATCCAAGACTAACTCAGGGATGAAGAGATCAGTTTTCTCTTGAGGTCAGAAAGAGGTTTCTATTTCTTGCCCTTGATGAGGCTGTCACTTCCCCGAGTGAAGCTTTCATCCTGCAAGTTCAGCACGAAGTTGTCAGCAGTGAGATAGATGCGGTTCTGAGATGTGGCGATGGTTTTGGAGATGTTCTGGGCAGTCTGGATCTTACGAAGTTTTATGTAGCTGGGGTTTTTGCTCAGAGCTTCCCCAAGCATCTTGGGAGCCTCAGCTTCACCCTCCGCTTGCACGATCTTCAGCCGCTGCTCTTGTTTTGCCTTTTCCAACAGAAACTGAGCCCTCTAGGCCTCCTGCTGAGTCACTTGTTTGGCCTCCACCTCGTCGGTGTGCTCTCTGCTAAAGATCAGCTCTGCGATGGCAACATCGTCCACAATGAGGCTAAAGACCTTGGCCCGTTCTGTCAGCTCCGCCGGATCAACAAGGACACCTGGGCCCGCTGCGTGATAAGCTGGGAGGCGTTAAACTTGACCACAACACTCTTGAGCACTTCATTCACGATAGAGGGCAACACACGCTCCCCGTAGTCCAAGCCTAGGCGCTGGTACATGATGGGCAGCTCCAGGGCATTGGGTCAGGAGAGCACTGGAAGGTAGTAAATCACTATTGATCAAAACAACTCAGAGGTACCACATCACACCTATCAGATTGGCCAACATGACAAAACAGGAAAATTATATATGTTGGAGGAGATGTGGGAAAATTGGAACACTAATGCATTCTTAGTAGAGTTGTGAAATGATCCAACCATTTTGGAGAGCAATTTAGAACTATGCGCAAAGGGCTATAAAAATGTGCATACCCTCTGAACCAGCAATTACACTTCCAGGGCTATATCCCAAAGAGATCATACAAATGGGAAAAGGACCCACATGTACAAAAATATTTATAACAGCTCTCTTTGTAGTGGCAAAGAATTGGAAATTAAGGGAATGCCCATCAATTGGAGAATGGCTGAACAAGTTGTGGTATATGAATGTAATGGAATATTATTGTGCTATAAAAAGTGACAAGCAGTCAAACTGCAGAAAAACCTGGAAAGACTTGCATGGTCTGATGCTGAATGAAATGAGCAGAACCAGGAAAATGTTGTACACGGTAACAACCATGCTGTGTGATGACCAATATTGATAGACTTAACCCTTCTCAGCAATGCAAGGATCTAATTCATTTCCAAAGGTCTCATGATGGAAATGCTATCCACATCCAAAGAAAGAACTGTGGAGTTTGAATGCAGATCAAAGTATCCTATTTGCAATTTTTTTTCTTCTGTTTTGTTTTGTTTCCTCTTTCTGGTGGTTCTTCCTATTGATTCTAATTGTTCCTTATAACATGACTAATGTGAAAATATATTTAATAGGAATGCATATGTGTAGCCTATATCAGATTGTGAGCCATCTTGGAAAAGTGTGAGGGAAGGGGGAGAAAAATTTAAAACTCAAAAGCTTATGGAAGTGATTGTTGATAAATCAAAATAAACTAATAAAAATATTTTGAGTTCCGAATTATCTCCCTCTCTCACTCTCTCCCTCACTCCACTCCCACATCATTGTGAAGGCAAGCAATTTTATATAGGTTGTACTTGTTTAGTCATGCAAAACATATGTCCATATTAGCCATGTTGAAAAAAAAATAGACATCCACCGCCTCCCCCCCCAAAAAGAAACCACCAAGAAAAATAAAGTCAGAAAAAGTCTGCTTCAATCTGCATTCAGAATTTCTTTGGTGCTGGATAGCACTTTTTACCATAGGCCTTAAGAATTGTCCGAGATCAGAGGTGGGGAACCTGTGGCCTCGAGGCCACATGTGACCTCTCATCGCAGCCCTAAATCTTGTATTTCTGAGAACATCTAAGTCATTCACAGTTGATCATTATATAATATTGATTTTGATGTGTAAAATATTCTGCTTCTGTTCACTTCACTTTGCATCAATTCATATAAGACTTTCTAGGTTTTTTGAAGAGCATCCTGCTCTTCATTTCTTATAGAACAATAGTATTCTGTTGAAATCATATATCGCAAATTGTTTAAAAGTTCCCCAATTGAATGGCATCCCCCTATTTCAAATTCTTTGCCACCACAAGATCTGCTATAAATATTTTTGTACATATAGGTCCCCTTCCTTTTTTATCTCTTTGCAATAAAGATCTAGTAAATAGTGCTATTATTGCATCAAGAGATATTCACAGTTATAAAATCCTTTGGGAATAGTTCCCAATTCTTCTCCAGAATGGTTTAATCATTTCACAACTCAACCAACAGTGCAATATTGTCTCCATCCCCTCCAACATTTTTCATTTTCCTTTTCTGTCATATTAGCCAGTCTGACAGATGTGAGGTGGTATTTTAGAGTTTTTTTTTAATTTGCATATCTCTAATTAAGTTTGACGTTTGCTGTTTTTTCATGATTTTCTTGCATCCCTCTCATTTCTTTTCACATTTTTCCTCTAGCTCTCTCTTTTTAATTTTAATTTTTTTAGGGGGGCACTTCCATGGATACCTTTTGGGCCAGTACCAATACACATTTTTCTTTGAATCTTTGCATGCATCTATGTATGTTTTGACATGCTTATCTTCTTCTGACTCTAAGTCTTGATCTTCCTTGTCACCATATAAATTTTCTATGTTCAGGTTGTTTTTTTTCTTCTTTGCTCATTTTCACCTTTTAACTTCATGTAGACTTTTAACTTTATGTTAAACTTGGGCTCTCTTTCTAGCATAGAGGGGGCACTTTTCCAAGCTTCATGTTTTTGTTTTTCCTGCTACTGTTTTCAGAGCTAGTTCTGGGAATCTGTAAGTTTGCAGTTATTCCAAGGTGGTACAATCTAAGGAGAGTTTCATTCTATGGTCTCATGATTATATTTCTGTCTGTAAATGACCATGAGCTCTCTTCATTTTCCTAGAACTCTAAATCAGGTTCTCCACTTTTGCTACTCCTAATCCTTGCCCAGGGACTGTGACCTGGAACCTTGTGTTGTCAACACAACAGAGACTGACAGGAAAGGTCTGTCTCATTTGGGTGGTGGTTGGGCCTGGAACACAATTCAGTGAAAACCTTGCCCCAATAAGCCAACAGCAACAAACCTTGGAAATGGTTGTATCAGTAACAGCAGTAGTGTTAGGAGTTCTCAGTGCACCAAGGATAAAGAAGCAAAACAACTAGTCAAAAGGAGATTATAAAGGGTCCTTTGCAGGCATTAGGTGCAGGATCCTGTTTCATTCATTCACAGTTCCAGGTAGCAGTCCTTGGGCAAAGAGGAGCACTAGCATAGTGTCTTTTTGCCACAGGGGTGGCAGGGGCCCTGATCACAGTTCTAGATTAGAGAAGAATGCCACTCACAGACCAGAGGACAGGTGAAGAGAGCAGTGAACACACTTATCCTTATATCATATGACATCAGAAGAAATGAAAGCTTATAGAACCATGAAAAAGCTGAAGCTTGGGACAGTGCTTCTCTACCCAGAAGCAGATCCCAACTTTAATATAAAGTAAAAAATCAAGAAATAGGCTTGAAAAACAAGTAAACAAGAAAAAAAAAGAGAATCTGACTGTAGAAAATTTCTATGGTGACAGGGAAGATCAAGACATAAAGTCAGAAGAAAATGAAAATGTCAAAACAGTTACATGCAAAATTCAAAGAAAAATGTGAATCAGTTACAGGTCCAAATAAATCCTAGAAGAGCTACAAAAAGATTTAGACAGAGAAGAGAAAGAGAGGGGGAGAGAGAGAGAGGGAAAGAAAGAGAGAGAGAAAAGAAATGCTAATATTTCAAGAAAAATATAAAAATGCAGTAAACAATTTGGTAAAGGAAGCACAAAAAATATTGAAAAAATAACACTTTTAAAAGCAAATTGGCTATGTGGCAAAAGAGGAACAAAAATCTACTGAAGAAAAGGATTGAATTGAGTGCTTGCCTCAGCAGCACATGTACTAAAATTTAAATGATATAGAGATTAGCATGGCGCCTGTGCAAAGATGATATGCAAACTTGTGAAGCATTACACATTTTTTTCCTTTTTGTTCTGATTCTTCTTTCACAACATAACAAATGTGGAAATATTTTTAATATGATTATACAAGTATAGTCTATATCAGATTGCATGCTGTCTTGGGTAGGGGGAATAGAAAGAAGGAGGAATTTAGAACTCAAAATCTTATAAAAGTGAATGGTGAAAACTAAAAAAAAATAAGTAAAATTGATAAAAGAAAAAAAAATTCAGCCTCACCAAAAAATGAAAAAAAGTAGAATTGTGCAAGGGGAAGCTGATGAATACATTAGACACCAAGAAACAATAAAACAGGGAGGCTGAGCCAAGATGAAAAAGTCAGGGACTCACCTGAGTTCTCTCCTAAACTCCTCCAAATACCTTTAAAATTACTCTAAACAAATTCTAGAGCAGCAGAGACCATAAAGAGGAATGAAACAAATTTCTAGCCCAAGACAACTTGGAAGGTCAGCAAGAAAGCTCTGTTACACCAGGATGAGAAAGGAGCACAGCCCAGCACAGGCTATTGCAGTGCAGACCTGACAATAGCAAAGCTGGAGAGGGAGTAATCAGAAGCAAACACTTCTGAGGAGGAACAGGTCAAAAGAGAGAATAGAATAAATAGGGGGGTGGGATAGGATGAAGGGAAATATATTTAGTTTTCCACAGCATGACTACTATGGAAGTGTTTTGCATGACTACACAAGTATAACCTGTATTGAGTTGCTTAACTTCTCAATGAGAGTGGGTGGGGAAGGAGGAAGGGAGAAAATTTGGAACCCAGTTTTAAAAACAAATGTTAACTTTTTTTTTTCTTATGCAACTGGGAAATAAGATATACAGGTAATGTTGTATAGAAATCTATCTTGCCTTACAGTAAAACAGAAGGGGAAGGGTATAAGAGAAGTGTTGGGGGGTATAGAAGGGAGGGCAGATTAGGGGAAAAGGTATTCAGAATGCATGCTGTTTTGGGGTTGGGGAGGGACAAGATGAGGAGAAAATTTGGAACTCAAAATCTTGTGGATGCGATTGTTGAAAGCTAAAAATAAATAAATTAATGAATCTTAAAAAAAAAAAGAAAGAAAAATATAAATTTGTCTTAGGCCATGAAAGAGCTCAAAAAGAATTTGTTTTATTATTAATTTATTTTGATTTATCAACAATCACTTCCATAAACTTTTGAGTTTTAAATTTTTCCCTATCATTTTTAAATTTAAATTGATTTACTAAATCAATAGTGATTTAAAACATTTTTTCATATGACTATAGATGATTTTAATTTCTTCATCTGAAAACTGCCTGTTCATATCCTTTGACCATTTATCACTTGGGGAATGACTTGTATTCTTATAAATTTGACTTAATTCTCTATATATTTTAGAAATGAGACTCTTATCAGAGACACTGGTTGTAAAAATTCTTTACCAATTTTCTATTTTCCTTCTAATATTGGTTTCAAAAATGATTTTGAAAAGTAAGAAAGAGAAATAGAGGAAAAATAAGGAAGAGAAATGAGAGTGATGCAAAAAAAATCATGAAAAATGAGTCAACAACTTGGTAAAGGAGATACAAAAAAAAGAACTGAAAAAAATAACACCTTAAAAAATAGAATAGGCTGAATGGTAAAAGAGATCCAAAAAGCAATGAGGAGAAAAATGCCTTAAAAAGCTGAATTAGGTAAGTGGGGAAAAAAGATCCAAAGGCTCATTGAAAAAAAAAATTTCCTTAAAAATTAGAATGGAGCAAAATGGAAGCTCATGACTTTATGAGAAATCAAGAAATTATAAAACAAAATCAAAAGAATTAAAAAATAGAAGACAATGTGAAATATCTCAGTGGAAAAACAACTAACCTGGAAAATAAATCTAGGAGAGATTATTTAAAATTTATTGCACTTCCTGAAAGCCAAGATCAAAAACAGAACCTAAACATCATCTTTCAAGAAATTATCAAGGAAAATTGCCCTGATATTCTAGAACCAGAGGTAAAATAGAAATTGAAAGAATCCAATGATCATGTCCTGAGAGAGATTCCAAAATGAAAACTCTTAGGAATATTATAGCCAAATTTCTGAATTTCCAGGTCAAGGAGAAAATATTATAAGCAGCCAGAAAGAAATAATTCAAGTATTATGGAGCCACAGTCAGGATAACACAAGATTTATCAGCTTATACATTAAAGGAAAAGAAGGCTTGGAATATGATATTCCAGAGAGCAAAGTACTAGGATTACAACCAAGAATCACCTACCCAGCAAAACTAAGTATAACCCATGAGGGGAAAAATGAATTGTCAATGAGATAAAGGATTTTCAAGCATTCTTGATGAAAAGTCCAGAGATGAATAGAAAATTTGACTTTCAAATACAAGACTCAAGAGAAACATAAGAAGATAAAAAAGAAAGGGAAATCATAAGGGACTTACTAAGGTTAAACTGTTCATATTCTTACATGAGAAAATGATATTTGTAACTCATGAGAGCTTTCTCATCATTAGGGTAGTTATAGAGAGTGCATATGGACAGAGGACCCAGGTATAAGTTGAATAAAAAGGGATGATTTCTAAAAATAATATTAAGGGGTGAGAGAGGAATATACCGGGAGAAAAAGAAAGGGAAAGGTAGAATGTAGTAAATTATCTCACATAAAAGAGGCAAGAAAAAAGCTTTTATAATGGAGGATAAGAGGGGAAATGTGAGGGGGTGTGAGTGAAACTTATTCTCAGCAGAATTGGCTCAAAGAGGGAATACACTCAATTTCCTATAGAAATCCATCATACCCTAAAGAAAATTAGCAGAGAAGGTAGAGGTGACAGAAGGGAGGGCAAATTGGGGGAGGGGACTATCAAAAGCAAAACACTTTTAAAGAGAGACAGGGTGAAAGGAGAGAGATTATAGGATAAATGGGGGGATGGGATGGAGGGAATTACAATTAGCAATAGTAATTATGAAAAAATGAAGCAAATTTCTCTGATAAAAGCCTTATTTCTCAAACATGTAGAGAACTGAGGCAAATTTATAAAAAAATAAGAACAATTCCCCAATTGATCAATGATCAAAAGATATGAACAGTTTTCAGATGAAGTAATCAAAGCTATCTATAGCCATATGAATAAATACTCTAATTCACTATTGATTGGAGAAATGCAAATTGAAACAATCCTGAGGTACTACCTCATACCTATTAGATTGGCTAATAGAACAGAAAATGTAAATGACAAATACAGGAGAGAATGTGGGAAAATGAGACTTTAATGCACTGCTGATGGAATTGTGAAATGATTCAATCATTCTGTAGAGCAATTTGGAACTATGCCCAAAGGGCTATGAAACCATGCCTACCCATATTACTAAGATTGTATCTCAAAAGAGATAAAAAAAAGAAAAGGGACCTATATGTACAAAAGCTTTTATAGCAGTTCTTTTCTGGGTATAAATAATGATAAATTGAGGGGAGCTTATCAATTGGGTAATGGCTGAAGAAGTTGTGGTATGTGATTATGATAGAATACAATTGTAAGATAAGATATGATGAGCAGGATGCTCTTAGAAAACCTGGAAAGACTTGCATGGGCTGTTGCAAAGTGAAATGAACTGTGTACAAAGTAACAGCCAGATTGGAAGATGATCAACCCTGAATGACTTAGCTATTCTCAGCAACACAATGATCCAAGATAACTCTGAAAGATTTATGATGACAAATGCTACCCATTCCCAGAGAAAGAACTGATAGTGTCTGAATGCAGATTGCAGCATACTTTAAAAAAAAAATCTTTCTTGAGGTTTTTCATCTGTGTTTTCTTTCACATGTCTATGATGGATATGTTATGCATGACTACACATATATAAGCTATATCAGACTACTTGCCTTCTTAATGTGGGGAGATAGGGAGAAAGGAAGGGAGAGAATTTGGAACTCAAAGTTTTGGAAACAAATGTTTTTTACATGCAACTGAGAAAAATAAAATATTAAATAAAAACTTAAAATGAGACAATAAAACAGAATTAAAAGAATAAAAAAGTAGAAGAAAATGTGAAATATCTCACTGGGAGAAAAAAGGGACCTGGAAATAGATTAAGGAGAAGTAATTTATGAATTATTCCTGAAGTCAATCACTTCCAGAAAGAAATCCCCAAGTGAAAACTCCCAAGAATATTATATCCAAATTTCAGAGCTCCCGATCAAAATAAATAAATAAATAAATAAGTTTGCAAGCAGCCAGAAAGAAAAAGAAAATTTTGTGGAGCCACAGTCAGGATAACACAAGAATTAGAAGTTTTACATTAAAGGATCTGAGGGCTTGGAATGTCATATTCCAGAGGGCAAAGGAGCTAGAACTATAAGAAAGAATCACCTATCCTGCAAAACTGAGTATAATCCTTCAGAGGGAAAAATGGATATTTAATGAAATAGAGGATTTTCAAGCATTTTTGATGAAAAGACCAGAGCTGAATAGAAAATTTGACTTTCAAATACAACACTCAAGAGAAGCTTAAAAAGATAAACATGGGGGCAGCTAGGTGGTGCAGTGGATAGAGCTCTGGCCTTGAAGTCAGAAGAACATGAGTTCAAATCCAGTCTCAGACATATGACACTTACTAGCTGTGTGACCCTGGGCAAGTCACTTAACCCTGATTGTCTCATCAAAAAAAAAAAAAAAAGATAAACATGAAGGAGAAATCATAAGGAAGTCAATGTGTTTAAACTGTTTACATTTCTATATTTGAGATGATCCTTGTAACTCCCAAGAACTTTATCATTATTAGGGAAGTGAGAAAATAGAGGGCATTGGTGTGAATTGACTATGATTGAATGATTAAAACAAATCAAAGCTTGAGAAAGAGGGATGGACTAGGAGAAGGAGGAAGGGAGAGCAAGAATTGGGTGAATTATCTCACATAAAATAGGTGCAAAATTGAAGCTTTTATAGTGGAAGGGAAGATAGAGTGGGTGGCAGAAAATGCTTGAACCTTACTCTTATTGGAATTGGTTCAAAGAAAGAATAACAAACACATTCAGTGTGGTA